CCTAAGTTTGTAATTTGGGAAAGTAAATGGGGTCTAGTGCAGTACTGGCCTTGCTACCTCCTTGTGTACAGAAGGCTTAGTATACAGTGTGCTGTATCCACTCTGTCCCTAATGGGCAGTCGTGCATATGGGACCCTCTTTTACTCTTTTACAATTTATGCGTACATGTAAAGATATACAGGTAGTTATGGTACTGTAGCTATTTGCAACATTTAAAATTGTGATTCCAATAAACTAGTGTTTACAGATTACAGTATTTCTTACATGAATATACAGTAGCTATACAGTACATGTATTTTTAATTAAAAGAACCAGTGTTGGAAGTGTTGAAAAAGGACATTTAATTCAGTAAGAAACAGCAAGTAGATCTTGGGTTTTGTGCCTTTGGTAAATAGAAAATAGTGACTGAGCTCTGTCTAGTATTAGCAGGGATGAACTAATGAATGCCGCTGAGCTTGAGCGTTGACTACTGTATGTGCTGTGGTTTGTTCCTGCAAAAATCAGAAATAGTTCAGTTATAGTTTTGTCAAGTGCTTGAGGTGCCAATAAAAGTTTCCTCCTGTATTGTAATGTGAAAATGAACTACACCAACAGCTAGAGCCTCAGATAACATTGCTTCATGCTGTTAGGATGCATTTCTTACTTGTGTATGTACAGTGCAATAATTTGAAGTTCTGTGTCAAAGTGTTATGTCGTTGTTTGGGGATTACTGTATAAAGGTAAAAAGCTGTCGTCGACACAAGCATAAACAGCAGTTAATATTTGTTGAATTTCGTATTTATCTCTGTTTTCATTGTGGAAATACTGTATACTGTCTAAACTCTAAAACTTAGACATAAATCATCAAATTACATAAACAAGTAAGAAATGTCCCTCAGAACATGAGTGAGGTAAAGTATTGAGGTTTATTGAGGCTCTTCTTATTGGGTAGATTGTTTTTACATTTCTGGAGAACTGTCACTTACAGCATTCTCATCAAGAGTTGCAGGTAATATTAAACATGAACCTCTGAGGATTTGGATAGTGAAACCTTTAGTAACCAGGCAACCCTGGGGACTGGGGAGTGTTGCCAGAGTACACGACACTGCAGGTGCAGATGTACTCCTATAAGGTGATATGGGGAACACTTTTGAATGATGATTTTTAATACTTTATACTGTAACAGTACAGTATCTATATAGTATGGTACTAAACATTATTTTTGTTTTGCTGTGTAAACTTAAAAAAAAAATTGAAAATAGACTGTTAATCGTCAAAGATAAAGTAGTATGGTATGTAATTTGACATCAGTAATTTAGACAATGATATTATGAATACCCCCAGCTGAAGTACTGTATGAATAGTGTTACTTGGAGAAGAAGATTTTAAACTTTTTTTAAACTACGTACCCACTGTACAGACACCTTACATTCTCTAGATTTCATGAAGTTTTCTTAAAGTATCCTGTACATTACTGTACAGTACTGTATATCTGAATAATGTGGATGCATTGTATGAGCAGAATTGTGGATGTTACAAGAAAGTACAGAAAATATTCAGGTCAAATATCTGGCAGTGAGAGTAGGTAGAAGTCTCAGGTGTGGTGCAGTAGGTACGGTACCAACAGATCACCTCCTCATTATTTAGGCTAATAAAGCTTCTATATTAACTTGGAGTACCTGGTCTTATAGAGATGACAGTACAGGTGTGTAGTAAACAATGGAAAGTACAGTATATAGCATGCTCTTCACTAGTCTTGAGTGTCTAATTCCTGATTAGATAACGACTCTCCTTGTACTCTCAGCAATAAATGAGCAGTGTAGTGTCTGTTTACTAACAACTTGCTGAAGGGTTGGAGTAACCCACTATCTGATGAATGCGTTCCTAGCCAGCCAATATGCTTAGTAGCCCCCCCCTCCCCCCCAAGCATACAAGACTTTTCCATTAATGGAATTACCTACTGTTTTGTAAATTCTTCTGTTGAACATAACAGAATGGTTTAGTCTACTGTTGTCACCCACTTAGAGGAACCATCAGAATTAAAATTTGCCAATGAGAAATCTTCTCCATCAATCTGTGTAGTCTGACATACAGTATGTATAAATGTCAGATTTTATAATGTTGTCCAGTAATGGGAGTCAGCAGGGGTAAAATATACTAACTTTTCCAATATAGAAAAATATTGTTCCAATTATCTGGTATGTGCCAGTCAGAGGTTACAGCTAAATGATCTGTGCTAAGCTGTATACACATTAAGCTGCACATGTGCTGATTAGTTCATGCAAGTAGGAGGTTTCATGATCAGTTCAACAGAGAAACCTAAGGCATAGTGTCTCTAAGAGAGCTCTTTTCATATAGTAAGAGGACCCAATAAAAAGCACTGTGTTTTGGATTTATGTAATGAGTATCAGACATGCATAAAACACTGCCACAAAAGAAAAAAAGATTGGCTGAGAAGGTTACAAGGGTTGACTGCTCATACTGTATACAAATTGTAGACTGTGCATGTACTGTACAGGAGGACCCTGAAATAATGTAATGTACATTGGGATTTGAGACCAAATTCGTGTGAATTAAAACATGATGACATTAAGCAGGGAATCTCCCATATAAGAATAGTACTGTACATGTAAATACAGGGAGAAAGGGACAGTAAGAGCATTTATGTCGCCTATGCGACACAAAGGGGGACATTTTCTCCCATAAGATATACTGTACAGTATAATGAAATATGGTAGGAAGAGGGACTGTATTTTTAAGTTGTTTTCTACTTGTATAGAAAAAGAATTTGTGAACTTATTAAGCTATGACACAAACAGTAAAGCAATTTTGTCTAAATACTGTACTGTTCAAGCATTTTTGGTGTAAAAGAGCACATCATTTTAAAAAGATTTAACCTTAACCTCTAACCTATTAGTACCGTACTGTATACAGGTACTGTATTTGTTTATATTACCTTGAGGAGTGAATGAGTGAACCATATTTATTACACTTTGTAACATGCAACTTAATATCCAGTGTAATACTGTACAGTACTCTACTGTACTTGTCCACTTTTTCTTCCCCTCGCTACCTAAATTTGCATCATGCTTCCCTGACTTTATTTAACAATTGCAAGGGTAAATCCAGATATAGCGAGACAGAACACATTGGGTGCAAGATTCAAGTTCCCCCAAAAAACAACGCACCGACATTACTGCTGGGAATTTTTATGTTGCGTTCATCAATTAGTCAACGACACCAGTGCAAAACAATGTACAGTATAGTGGGACGACTTATAACAGGGACTCCCTATATAGTACAGTATGTTTATTTATGATATTACAATATTTACCCCTAGGCTATACTAAATGTATACAGCACTATGTGTATATATATATATATATATATATATATATATATATATATATATATATATATATATATATATATATATATATATATATATATATATATATATATATATATATATATATATATATATATTCCTGGTACTGTATATATTAATTATGTTGGCACATACACACATAAAGAGATCGTGGGGGGTATATTAGATTTTCTGTTCTGTGATTCAATAGATGGTGCCACACGGCCATTACCAAGACCTCGCTATAATACAGTTTCTCAAGTACAATACTGGTACTGTATTGTTGTTAATAAATAAACAGCCTTACATAACATCTTAGAACATATAAAAGTGCAGTATAAAGAATCGACACTTACAAAACAATGAAACACGGTTCACAAGTGTTACAGGATGTTGATGCATTTTTTGGGGGGAAATTACATGATGTGAGTAGACTTGTTTACTAGAAAATGATAATATAGCCAGGCAGGTGCTGATGCTGTTGATTCTTAGCATTAAACATAAAAGGGTTACTCCAGGTGTATACTGTACAGCATCAGATTTGGGAATAATAAAAAACTATAAATAAAGTTTTTATTACAGGGGTTAAAAGTGGTTTAGGTTGAAAATGTACTGGTATCTTTGTTAAAATTTACCGTTGAGATACAGTTCTGTATTAATTGTGTGCTTATATAATCTGGTCTTAAAGTTTATTAACAGAATTTGATCTTCACATTATTGATATAAATTACACTTTGCTTTGAATAAGACAAAAAGTTTAGTAGACCGGCTATTATTGAAACATATCCCTAGGCCAGAGGATTGCCAGGAAGTGTTGGAAGGAACCCAGCAAAGTCACTTTACAACAGCAAGTTTTGGGGTGCAGTGTACAGTAACTTAGCATGAATATTTTCCTCTATGTTTATTCATCATTAGATTACGGAAATATTGTAAAGGTGACTTGTGTAGATCATTCTTAAGCTCTTGTTAGTAGTCCAAGACACAGGCCTAATCCATGCCATTGTAAACTTTGGATCACTTAATAACAGAAACAGTCAATCACTGTCAAGAGATGAGGAAGAGCTGGCTTGGGGAGAATATTAATCAAGTCATATACAGTACAGTATTGGGGTATTTTAGTACTATTGTACAAGATATTTATTCCAAATTTGGGGCTTTGTTATGGAATGCAACTATTGTATCATAAAAGAATATGTTTATTACAGTAGGAAGAGTGAAGGAATGGTAACGAAAGAAGGGAGAGAGTGTGTATGTGTGTGTGTGCACGTGCTCTTGATTTCAGCCATTTTTCGCTAAGTGGGAAAAGGATTAAAAAATCAATTTTATATTACAGTATGCTGTATATACATTGTATATGTACACACACACACACACACCTAAGCTTTTCTTACTTTTGAAATCGTTAGCAACTAAGACAACTTCTGTAGAGTGTAGTCGTTGCTAAGGAAGCCAAAAGTAGGAGAAACTATATTGACATGTTAGTGCATAATAACAGAGTTTTATCACAACATAGTGTGGCTTAATATTGTAGTACTGTTAAAGATGAGCTTTCAAGGTAAATATCTGACAATTGTTTATCATTGCAAGGTGGAGGAAAACAAAAGATGTTCCCATTAGCCATCCACACCTGTCTTACAATTGTTCTGTATTTCAGGCCAATTGCGACGTATGTCAAGTGAAACTGACAGGAGACGTCATGGCAGTGGGACATTACAACCAACATATATTCGAGGAGAAATGGACCCCACTCAAGCAGCCATGCTATTCCGTGATTCTCGAGGGGTAAGTCAATGATGATGTATTTATTGTAGAACTTTCCTAGTTCTTCAAAAATATACGATACTTTGTATTTGCATGAGTTAACACAAGATTTAGATTTTTGTTTTTTCAAAATTTGTTGGAAAATAGATTGGGCTGCTACCATACTGCACTAGTACCACCATTAGGGGAGGTGCAGTGAGAGATAAATTAATTAATACAAGTTAGTGGTCTGCCATTCTACAAACAGGTTGGCCTGAATCAATGTTCCCTCTCAGCTGTGTGGCTTTACACATTTGTTTTTTCTTGCAGTCCATAATGTCAGCAACAATGGTTTCTATTTTTCATATTGAATAAACATCTTAAGCAGTGCACCTAGGTAATAATTCTTTGTTTTTATATTGTTATACTATACTTTTGTATATCTGTGGTAACTAACTTTAAAACAAATACATTACTCGCTTTTTTGTTTCTACTAGTGGCACACATCTACGCATTGTCTTGATATTGGTGCACAAAACAAAATTTATTCTGCACTCAGAAGCAAAACTTTTTAGGGAATCTTGGCATGAAGGATAAGAAATAATATAGAATATAATCATCACTGCCAACTTGACTTGGTTGGGAGGGGGGGGGATATCTAGAGCATGCCATTTAACACTTGTACAGTATATGCTGAAAGGACTGGTGCAGTTAAGTGCACTTCTTCAATGTGTGTATGTATTTACTCTTTTTTCTGGTCGCCTTCCATTATTTATTAGAAGTGATTGACCTTTTAGAGAGTAAAAAAAAGCAATGCACCAATAGTTATGTACTTGTATATAGTATAAAAAACACAAACATGCTTCACCATTGCTTTCCACACAACAGAGCTCTGCATCTATCTTCCTCCATCTGTTATTCCTTTACCACTTATCAAATCTGACATAAAACATCTTGTTTCCTCCTAAATACAGATACAGGTACTGCATTGACCTTTTCCTCTCGTCTTTCTTCTTCATTGTAGGGAGCCACATCTTAGTTAAGGGCCATTTCTTTTCCCTATGAGAAAAGAGATACACTAAAAAAAAACCCAGACAATAAAGGACAACTACTTCATATTGCTTCCAGTTACGTGTGTTGTTCTTTTCTTGATGATGTTCTTTTCTTATCATGGTATCCAGTCAGGGATTTATTTGGTCCATTGTTGGTCAGTTTTTCATGATATCTTGCTTGCCAATTACCATAGTACTTCCTCAGTCCATCTAGTATCCAGGGTAAATAGACATATCTTAAATCTCATAGATTATTAGGTTCTAATATGCCAGTCCTGATCTCAATAAATTACCATAAAAAAATGTATGCACTTCTTACAAAAGCCATCCATTCCACAGTTTAAAACCACAAAGTAATTCAAACTATATTCTACATGAATTATAACACCGCTAGGTAGAAACACATTCGGGCTTCAAATAATGTTGTTTTCCATGACTAGACTTTGTTGTTATGTAATAAATAAATGGTGAATATTGTTTACAACTACCAAGAGAAAAGCTTATGACTATTGATGTTTAGAAATTTCTCTAACATACAAATACTGGACTGTAGTAACATTCATGTGTACTACATTACTTTTGGTCTATGTATATTGGAACTCCTTTTATCTAAGAGGCCAAAATTCACAGAAGGTTCTGCGTGCTGAACATAAGTGAGCTGACAACATACTGATGATTTCAGTAGACATCACTATGCTCGATCAATGCTATACCCAACCCTGTTATGCAGATCACATCATGTGCTTCTGGCTTGTTTTGCTTGAATTTGTTTGTGCCTTTAGCAAGGATTTGTGAGTAAGTTTTATAATCAGTTACAAGATATCCTATTCTGTGAAATGTTCCTTCAAAGCAGATGGTTCATTGAGAGGAATGTTGTCAAGAAAACCTACAGTACATAAGCAGTGGAAACAAAAATAGAGCTAGAATTTAGACAGTGTTGATATAGCATTAAAAAAAAAACTTGCCAAAACATCTCTCTTCACCATCTACCGTACAGTATTTGGTATTCCAGTTTTTAGAAAGGCTACCATTCCCAGAGTGAGCTTAAACTCCGGTGCTAATATCAAACTGCTGTCATTGTAAATGTGCCTGTAATGCAGGGACTAATGCCTGAATTATTTATGACGGCAGATGACATGAACCACCAGACTTAAATGAGTTCGTCTAACCCAACTATCTTTTGTGTGTTATTATTGTAATTTTTATACAATAATTAAAATGTACATAAAATGTCAATGTACATTATAGTGTTTACATATTATCCATTTAAAAGGAATGTAACACTCAGTAGTTCATCCATACTCTCAATCTCTCAAGTGTGACTACTACTGTACCTCCTTGAAAGTATAGAACAACCTTGACAACATAACACATCCTTGATATAGTCTTACTTTCACAGAGAACCATTTCCCATCTCAATGACTTTGTTTAATATATGCTTCAGTCTCTCTATACTGTACTCCTGATCATCACTTATCCCATACGTTTTCTCATCTTGCTTTTCTCTATTCAATGATATTGTTTTAAATGCCACAAACATATTCTTCCCACTCTTTAGTCTTCACTTTTCTGCATCTACAGTCTTCTTTCCATGTCACATTTGCCAATTTTTACTTCAGTTTTCAATGACGATTTTCCATATACATTCCTAGGTATATGTAACAACCTTATTCCTTCATAGTTTTCGTGTTCATAATAAACACCTTCCCTTTGTACATTGGAACTGTACTGTATACATTCTTTACCATTCTTTTGTTATTCTTGTAAATTTTTTTGAAAATATTACCTGTACTTAATTTTCCAAACACATCAAGCCATTTTAATTTGATTTTGATTGGCTCACACCAGGCACCCTAAATGTGTATATCCTTCGCCTCTTATTTGGACATTTGTTAAGCTGTGAAGCACTACTTTTGTTGTGGTCATTCATATTTATTCATGCCCTTTACTTGCACAAGTCACCTGGTATGTATGTATTTGTAACCAGGCTGTTCAGATTAGCAGTGCCTGGCAACCTGGGAATGTCCAGACTAGGGTCATGCAAGGGATTTTTTCATGTCCATGTGCCTGGCACTTGCCCGAAGAACAAGTTAATATTTTGAAAGGAAAATGCAAGTACCGAGACAGGAATTTGTCAGGTGGTGCATGACCCCACCTCACCGTACATGTTTAACCTTGTGTCAGATGCAGGTAATTAAATCTATATTAAGCTGCCAACAAGTCAGTCAGTGTCAAGTTGTCAACATTTCAAAGGAACCACTAAACCAAGTGGTATATGTGAGGTGACAGGAGTTATGACATGACATGACAAGTGTTATCACAATTGACACCCAATTATTGGGAGGTGAGAGTGGTAGTAAGGGTAGGTGATCACACTATGCAAGCCCTGCAAGTGTGAGGTGAGGTGACAGGAGTTATGACATCACATGACAAGAGCTACCACCACAACACTATTTAGATGGACACAGGTGATTTATGAGTTGATACACACCATAAGTCTGAATGTTTTAAGTACACCCCAGTAGTTCTTTTTGTTTGTTTTTTCCTAGTTAACTTATAGTACTGCAATAATATTCCATCCATGTCATTAACAGGGGCAGCATCAATTTCTTCTATGCCCTGATTCTACACCACATATAACAAATTGCTCATAGTTGTTGCACCCTTAGAGTAAGAGTAATTCATACTCTGCATATTTGTAATATACTTGATTCATCTTGTGTATGGCTCACAATGTTGTGGTACAGTACTTGTAACTCCTGTTTGTTGCCATGGTTGATTGAGATCTAGTTCTGCTTGAAGTCAGTTGATATATATATATATATATATATATATATATATATATATATATATATATTTACAGCTTTTATATATTATCTTATAAAAGATTAATTGATATAAACTTTTTGGTATTTTTTATGGCCTTATTTTATTACTAGAAGTACAGTGCAACAATAAGATTCTTTGATTTTATAACACTTTTCTTGGTGTAATACACTTTAGGACAGATGTGTAAGATCTCTCATGAATCCTTCCCCTTCTTTTATGATATACAGTACAGTAGTATATGGTTTTTTCATCCTCGTGGTCTGTATGTGCTTCCTCTTCTAGAAGACTATAGGTCAGTACTTCCTAGATGTTCCTGGTCCTTTAACATATCCTCACTGTGTCATTTGTTTACTTCAGTATAAAACAACTAAACTTATGACAATCAAGTATTTTTGTAGCAGTTGATGATGTTAATGTTTTGCTTGTTTAGTTCTTATCATATAAAAGACAGTCAAATAACCTGACACCATTTCTTGGTGGCCACATTGTGCACCAGTGAAGTTTATTGGGTTGGAATATCGATTTCTCCTTCAAACGGGATTGGACATCAAGAGATTTGTTTCACCTTTCCTCTGTAACTAAGGCCCATAATGAGTTTTCACAGAAGCAAATAATTTCTATCTAAAGCAGAAGGCTAATTAAACTATTGCCTCATCAGCAGTGAGCACCCATCACTTGGGACCACAACAATAAACAATTATTTAACCCCAGTCATTTTACTGCTGGATCTTGATGTACATAATGTTCTGGCTAAAGTAGTTCCAGATGAAAGCAGATATAGGTTTTAGTATATATTTGAGCACTGGTGAAGGTTTATTATGGTGAGGCCACATAGATCCTACATTTTATAAGTTCAGGCAGTTTTCATGGAGGGAAAATACTGCTCTCTAACTTCATTAAAAAAAAAGTTGTATGTTGTACTGTTCATTTTTAACCTACTGCAATTGATTGATCTACAAGTAGCCAATTTTTAATCCATATATACATCGTGAGGGAATTCATTTTCACTATAAGTAACTCGGCCTTTCCTCACAAAGCAGAATTTTATACACTGGGATATCTGAGCAGTTCCTGATTGGTTGGGTTTGTTTTTTAAAGATGGAGGCCAGCTTTAATGTTTCAGAAATGACTGGAGTTTATTGTGTGGGAGAAGACCTGCGCATGATATCTCCTTTCCTGGAGTTTTTATATGTTATTAATTTTTCTACAAAAGGAAATTGGAGAAACTCCCAAGGGGCTTGTGTGACAATGAGATGGTTTCTGAGTTGCTTTAATATTGTATTAAATATGTAGTGTTAGTACTTTTGTAAACTTTATTGTATAAGATTGAGCCTATACAGTACTGCATACCATATAATGGTTACCCTTTGTGTTTGAGGCTTGGTGGCCCCAAGAACATCTTGGTGGAAATTTACTGAAGGTGTAGCTGTTACCAACATAACCATACTCTAAAGTTACACCCTGTGTGACAAAGTATCAAGGAGTAACCCAGTAAGACCATACAACTTTGCCAACTGCAGTAGCTAACTCTTACCCCAGAAAATGGTGTACCTGTATGTAGATGGTTGATGTGCATATTTCCAAGCTGTGCTGCTTTGGGGACATTTGGCTGAGTTAATAGTTCTTTCTTGTCTAATTATTCATAGCCGAGGCAATATGTCATCTGCAGAGGTCTTTTTGTTTTATTTACATGATAATATTATTTAACAAAGTCTAAAAGGGATTAGTAGATAAAACTTTATTTATTTATTTTATTTTTTTATTGTTATTGATTGAGAGTACGTACAGTAAATTAATACGGGTCAGTGTGGAGATTACGGATTAATTTTTATATTGTGTTTGCAAGATGGTGATTTGAGTAAAGTATGCTAACATATTTTCTTATTGTCACAGCCTTTTCCTGACACTTTCTACAATATGTCTAGCACCATTTCCTAATCATTTTTCCTCTTTCTATGATGTTTCACAACTCCTTGATCCACCCTATACATGTGTGAGAGAGAGACAGGTGTACAGATAATAAGAGATAAGATTATAAAAAGTATGCTATGTTTCCTTGCTGTTTTGTTCCCATAGAAATATATCTTGACTCACAGTAATTAATTAAAAAATTTCTTGTTCACGTACGCCTTAGGTTTGTTGTAATACATAAGAAGAAAAAATTTTCAAAGCGTATTTCTAAAAAGTCTATGACTATTCCTCTAATTGAATCATCTGGCATTATTATCTAAATAAAATTTTAAAGTGATGTCCCTTTAGTGAAGTGGTTAAAAATACATTAGGCATCGAGTCATGACATGTAAAAGTCTAACCAAAATTATTTATTTTTCAGCTACCACATGCAGACCCCTTCTTGGAGAACATTAGTAGGAGTGACTTAGGTAAGTACAGTAACAGTTACACATCTTTTATGCTGTTTGTTCTGCTGGCAAAAATAAATGAAGGTCAACTTTATACTGTACCAACTGGTGTGCCATGTTTATCATACCTCTGACTTACATAAGGTGCTCTGTGTCCATGACTCACTTATATAACCTTCTACATTCCCTTGGGTTGATTGCCTTTTTTTTTCGAACTTCTGTCATATGTATGTTTCTTGTTCTGTCATTCAGATGTTTTATGAGAATTTTTGATGCAGCAGAATTTAGAGATTGTTGCCTCTGAAAGATTTAAACTGTGAGTTACTATATAGCCAGTTGTTCCTTTGAAACTCATTTTGATGAATTCTCTGCCTGTAGGTGGTAGAGTAGAGTTACTCCTGGTCACCAAACCTATTTTCATTAGTAAAATATCTTGACGTTGATTTGTCTCAGTTTTTATACTTGAGCGATAAAAGTTGTGGGGTGTTATTTATTGCTGTTACTACTTACCGTGATAGGGATCTCAGTTTATATTTGCTTAAGGGCCAGTTACACACAGCTTGTTGACAAAAGATCCATTTGTAACAGCAAATACAAACAACCAGACTACTGTGACCAATTTGACCTGAAGGTGCAAAGGCATCTGTAACACACACACACAGCCCTTAGTAAAAATTATCTTAGAGAGCTGGAACCTGATTTGTGGAAATTTCCATTATTTATATCCCACCCCCAAAAGTTATGGGCATATTCCACCCTTCATCAATCTTGGCAGGCAACTCAAGCATCATCCTCTTTCACTTGTTTTCCTTAACATGAGTTTGACTAGATGAATTTGGATGTTACTTTAGATATGGATGTCTTTTGGGTCTTGGTGTCAAAAGATTAAAGGTCAAAGACTTACGATCTTTCCACGTTTCTTTGTTGGCACTGTGGTGGGAAGTAGCATTTGTGTTGCTCTTATTTTCTCTTGACTCTGTACTACTTTTTGTGCCCCAACTTGCTAGGCGTATACGTTATAGTATTTAGGTCATGCATTTACTTTATGTACTATATGCATGCACAGTACTGTATGTTCATGTGTTCAGATCAACAGTTCTTAACCTGAGGCCCATGTAAACTTGAGAAAAGTAGTCAACACATATTTGATTCAGATATATGTTGTGATGATCTCTCCTCCCCCTCCTCCACATACCTAGAATTGTTGTCAGTTCCTCTGTCTGTCCATCCTTCCCTGCAGCGGACTTGTTAACAGGACGTTTTGAGAACAAATTGAAGTAAATCGACTGCTTCCTTATGTGGGAATCTTGAATGAGTTGACGACAATCGGTGTTTTCCCATCCTTGCTTTACGTAGTTATGGTCCTCTTGGTGTTGTCTCATACAGTGTCCAGACCCATTGATTTAGGCTGTGCATAGCTTTTATCAACACTTAGTCAGAAACTGAATCACTGAAAATTTTTAATAAATCTTTTTAAAGCCTTTATGTCATAGATAGTTGATGATGCATCATAATATTCTCTCATCAAAACATTCTGCTATTCATCATTTTTCTATCATTTACAAATGTCTGATATCTGATTACATTATTGTTAACAAATTCTCATTCTTCACGCCCTTGCTGATAGAACGAGTTTCTGTTGTTTTCCCATGTACTAATGTGAAGTCATCTCTGCAGTAGGTAGATTATACAGTACTGTATTTGAATTTTGTTAGTGCAACTTCTTTTATTGGCAAGATTTCACAAATACTGGAGAAAGACTTCTGGCTGTGTTTACCACCAGAGTAAACAGTTGTGTTAAGCTAGAGCGTTCCATGACTTGCCAGGTAAAGTTAGATTAGAACACAGTTTCTTAAACATGAATCTGTATTGGTGTTCTCGAAAATTCCAGTTTCTTGAGAATTCAGGTTCAACTCTTAAACAGCTGCCATCATCAGTGAAAGTTAGCGGTTGGGACAGAAACCATAACGGGGGACATTTCATGGTCCTTGTGGGTTTTTTTGGGGGGTCAAGTACCAAATACCAGTGAGGTTAAGCATGGTGAAAAGATGAAGTATAAATTTAAGGTAAACTGATGTAAGGCACCTGAAAAATACATATTGTGGGGATTTAAAGATGGAGGGAGATGAGCAGTTTTTTTATATTTATTATTATTTTTTTCCCAGGAATCGGTTATTTTGCAAAATGACCAGCATGCATATTGGTAATTTTGCAAAATAACTTACAAACAGACAACCTAAACTAACCTAACCTTATGGTTAGGACAGCACATAGTCCAAAGTTAAAAAAGAAAAAAAAAAAAGAAAAAACAGGACCACTTAACTGTGTATCAAGCTACACGAGCATCCTAACTTAACCTAACCTAACCTTATTCAACCATAAGGTTAGGTTAGTTTAGGTTATCTGTTTGCAAGATATTTTGCAAAATTACCAATATGCATGCCGGTCATTTTGCAAAATAACTGATTCTGCAAAAAAAAAACATTTAGCATTTATAAAAGAAAAATACAGTAGAAGATTAGAAAAGCATATTAGGGAGGAAATTGAATGATGCAGTTTTACTAAGGAATCAAAATCAGATCAAGGGCTGTAATAATGAAAAAATAATTACTTGGCTAATGGAAGTAAATTCAAGTAAGACATGAAAAAAATGAGGTATACAGAGGTGTAGAGAGAAGGGAAACAGTGCTGAGGAAGGGGTGAGAGTATTTGCAAAGAACAGAGTGGCAATGACAGTAAGTGAAGGTTGGAAGACTGTAGGCTATGGTGCATTACAGAGTTCCACACTGAAAACACACACACACACACACACACACACACACACACACACACACACACACACACACTGGAAGCCCTCCTAGGATGGGTTACTTTTGGTTTTGTTTTATTTTATGTGGTGTTTATTTATGATATATTGCCAGATGGAAAACATATCAAATGATTAAGTGAAGCAGTGGTTATGCTGAATAAAAATAGTAAAAAGTAATACAGGAGTTATGCAATCAACTTAGTATTATGGAACACCGACATGATAATGTAAAACATATTCCAGAACCTACTGCAGGCAGGAGTAAGAAGGATTGTTAATATGAAGAGAATGGATTTTTAAGCTTGTACAGTATTTTCAAAGTAAACAAGGAGCTATTGTCACCCCCCTGGCATCGGCATTAATCAGTACAGTACAGTAATTCCGTGTTTTTTGCGCCGTTTTGACCATTCACGTTTTTTTTTACTAAAAAATTATATATATATACTATATATATATAATTCCACTGTGCGGTGCGGCAAACAGACGCCACCCTTTCCCGCCTCAGACACCCGCTGCTCCGAGAAGCCTCAGTGCACACGTGCCTACCGCACTGTGAACGCTACTGTGACTGTGTGAGGGCGGGCAGATGCCGGGACAGCAGGGAGAGGCTGGCAATGCGGGTGTTGCCGACCTCAGCGTAATAAAAAAAAAAATTTGTATGTAACAGTGTTTACGTTTTTCCATTATTATACTACAATATGATTAGCTTCAAATAATGATATTTGTAAATGCCGGTACAGTGCATCAGTGACCAGTGTGACCACTGGGCCATGAGTGGAGAGCATGGCGTGGTTAAGTGCATGACCTACCTGAGCTGTTTGGTGGCCACAGGTTCAGTGATTCCTAAAAGAGTATTCGTGGTTTTGGCTTTTCGCGGAGGTTTCAAGAACATAATTCCCCCGAAAAACACGGGATTACTGTATTATCGTTGTTGTTATTTGGTTCTTTCCTTCTCACCCAGATGCTATTTTAGTCTCTTGGTTGGGAGCCTTTTGCTGTATCCTCTCCAAGCAGCAGTCTTGACATAGGTCTTCAGCTGTTCTAAAATTCATCCCCTGTTCCTGACACATTCCTCTTATTTCCATCAATCTGAGTAAGTTTAGTGTTTGGCTCAGCAACACAGGAGTACTGTTTTTAAATCCAGTCACAGGTTGTGGTGACTAATTTTAGATTTGAGGGAAAATTTCATATGTTGCCATCATTTATTTTTTTTATTTTTTTATTTTTTTTAAAGAGAGAGGGGAAGTTGAAACAAGTGAACAGAAAACAAGTTTATGAAGTCATTGCTTCCTTAAGTGTGAATAAATATTAATGAATACTGTTAAGAATTCTACATTGGCAGGACCCTCGCATGTCAATGTGTGTTAGTGTGTGTGTTTGTGTAAGAAGTTTGAAGTAAATGCAGGAATGTTTTGTCACTGGCTAGGTGATATGTTAATGGGTTAGACAGCTCGTTGGATGGCAGTGAGGAGCAGAGGTAATGCCACTTAAGTCATGGTTGCTGATAAATGGCAGCTGTCTCATTATTTTGGTGCATTTTGTTAGCTGAGTTAAGAAAACAAGTTAGAACTAATGATATGAATGCAGACTGTAAGAGGAAAAGTTGAGAAAGAAACTTTTTCCATTTTCAACATAAGCAGCTCAGTCACTTACAAAATAAAAAAATGCTATTTCTCTTACTCACTGACTTCAAAAACTTAGTTCTATTTGGACACATCGTTGTACGAGTGTCAATATTGTACTTTTTTTACCGTTAGACTAGTGTAAGTTTCACAAAACATCGAGATCCCAAAGGGTGTCTAAAATTACAAACAAAAGACGGAGTTACTGTCTTGGTGTTGTCTGAAATTTAAACATTTTTATCCACATTATTTTAAATTTGCAGGACAAACGTATGTTTAACTTGGCTGCTCTAATTATACTTTTTCAAGGAACCCTGTGTAAACCAGCAAGCATATGTTTACTATCTCCCTAGGTTATTTCTGTACTACTGTAATAGTGAATAGAGATTCTTCCTCAAACAGCTTACATTGTCATAATCAGGTGTCAAAGACTCAACACCTGTTCCCAAACATAAACAGAATACAGTATTCTTTTCTGCTCAGCAGTTTGACACACACTTTGGGAGAGTTGCCAACTACAGTACTTTCATTCTTAAGAAGCCAGAATGTAATAGAAAAGACAAATGGTTTTAGTTAGGGAGTACAGTAGT